AAATTTACAGTTGGTCTTATTTTTAATCAACTCTTTTTAAGAACCGTGAATCTGATATTTTTCTAATAGTCTTCCAATTGACTTGACGGAATCGTAAAATGTCTAGCTGTGAGAGCACGTAACAGAATTTTCTTAAACGTATTTCTCGACTAGGGAAGGTCCATTAATTATGTCACGCAAATTTGACCCATTTTCAACACCCCTCCCCCCTTTGTCACATTTTTTGTATGGACCTTAATTTTTTTTGTATGTCTCGTCGCAGTTTCCAACCCCCCCCCCTTCCCCTAAAAGTGTGACATATTTAATGGACGATCCCCTACTACTCTACCGAATTCAACGCAACAACCAACAAATGAAAGGTACCATGATTCTATAGAATTTTAATCAATAGATTTTCTATCGATTAACTGATTCTGGAGATATGAACGGAACAAGACCCGAAAATCACGGAATTCCAGCACAACCAGCAAACAATAGGTATAATGATCACATTGTATGCTGTCGAACAAATTCAGAAGCGTTCAACTATTATATCTCCGGAAATGTATAAATGTGTATCGTATTTCACGGTAACCACTAATGCGAATTGCACGCAACAACCACCAAATGAAAAGTATCATGATCCCATAGCCTCGCCCATAGAACATTATTAAACAGGTTCAGAATCGGAAATGCTGGAAATGTGACAGGAACATGTTCAGGGGTATGTGAGCCATAATACTAAATTTGAACGGTATGGAATAAAACCTATCATGTGACCAATCAAATTACTTCAAAATATGATAACCAAATCAATTATGGCCGTTTCCTGCGTCGCAAACCACATTGGTCAATTCCGGGCATACCCCAGATGCCCTCAAAGAATTAACCAGACCAGTTTTGAATTAAAACCCATCATGTGATGCATCAAAGTACTTAAAAATTTAATAACTATATCAATGGTGGTAATATTGTGTGCCCACTTTTAGTTGGGTTCTTGTCCACTAGAGTGGGTCATCGTTACATGGAAAAACGAAAACTTTACCGCACCAATCGAGAACAACCCTTTTTTGGTTCCATTTGGAGTCCCAAACAACTGTGCAAAATTTGAGGATGATTGGTTGTAGCTCGACTTTCCGCATTGCGTTTGAAATTTGTATGGAAATTAGTATGGGAAAACCAACTATTTTGCATTTTTATCCCACAGAGACCACAATTTTGCATGAACCGTGTAACTAAGTATGTAAAAATATATTTCAGGAAGTGCCTAACAATTTTTCCAAAGCAAGTACGGTGCTAGAATGTATATAAAAAAAAGTTATAGCTATTCAAATATTTATGGTTTGAATTAAACACCAAAAATCCCTTTTGCTGCCAACACTGCCGGTGTAGATTCCAAACTGAAATAATATTGGAGATCTTATCTTACCGATTAAGTATGTTCAGATAAATTATTCAAAAACAATTGCTCTATCTCATGTGTGTAGTTGGATAGGGAGGGGGGGGTAATAATATACCCCTTCCTCTCACACATCTCAATAGTTTCAGTTTGAATTAACTTTGGAGTTTTTTATTTTATCGATTTGGTATGTTCAGGATGAATTATTCAAAAACATTTGTTCAATCTCATAAGCGTTATTAGACAGCGGGGTGTGGGGAGGGGGGAAGGGCTTACTGTATGCAGTTTTTTAAACGAAAATTGTTGTAGTGTAAATATTTAATATCCACTTGTCGGTTCATTTGTTAGTGAGGAGATGTTGTTTGAATTATTAGCAGCTGGGAAATTTTAAATTTCTATACAAAGCTTCTATGTCAAATATTAAACTGCTTTTCGGGCCACCCACATATAGAAACACAGAAGTAGTCGTAGATCAAGAACAAAATACAAGAGAAAACGAAAACTGTCTTCACCAGTTTTGTCTCAGACATAGGTACAGTCGGATTTCGCTTGTTGGGCTAACTTTAAGTGGGTTAAGTTTCAGTTGGGCTCCCAAGCCAAACGTCACTTATAACAGTGCTGATTCCTTTTCGAAATTTCGACCGGCTTCATGCAAAAACCGGCAAACGAGTGGAGTAATGATACAGATTATTTCAATGTGATACAACGAGTTGCTTCCTTGATGGTTGTCAACGATATGGCTGAATGAGGGGTGAAGCTAATTTCTAACTTATCAAGAAATTCACCCGAGGCCTAGTTCAACAGCAATATTTGCTTCAAGGGATAGAACAGCATTGAAAAAAGTACCCTTAGAAATCGTAGAATATATTAAAATGAAATATAATCATTACAATCCATGACATTTGTGTGAATATATCTGACATTGTATATTGCACCAAAAGAGTAGGGAAGAGAATGGTTGTACTCGCTTTACAACTGCTCTTATGAGATGAGGCAAATTTTTTTGAATAACCCATCCGAGGAACTCGAGAGATGGGAAACTCCAAAGTTATTTTATTCTTTATCTTTATTTTCATTAATATAAGTGCGGGCTGGGAAGCATACAGTAAGCCCCCCCCCCCCCTAATCTAACTACGGCTATTAAATGCAACACATGTTTTTGAATACATCTGAACATACCAACTTGACAAGATCAGAAACTCCGAAGTTATTGCAGTTTGAAGACTTACCTCCATTTATATGGGTGAGGGGTGGGGGTATAGTTAGCCCCCCTCATCTCTTAATATGCCTATGAAATTGAAAAAATGTTTTTGAATAATTCATCTGAACATACCATATCGATAAGATGAGAAACTCCGAAGTTATTTCAGTTTGAAACTTTACGTCTAATGATATGAGTGAAACACCCCCACCCCCAACCCCCCCCCCCTGACTACGCATATGAGATAGATATATTGTTTTTGAATATTTCATCTGAACATACCAAAACGATAAAATGATTAACTTCGAATTTGGAGTCTGACTTTCATTAATACACCGGCAGTGTTGGCAGAAAAAGGGATTGTTGGCTATTAATTCGTAACATTGATCTTTGAAAAGCTATAACTTTTTTTAGGGGCATTCTAGCACAATACATTTTTGAGCAAAGTTGTTAGGCACTTCCTGGGCTATACTTTAATGTATTTAGATGCGTGGTTCACATCTAAAGATGCAATAAAAATGCAAAAAAGTAGATTTTCCCATACTAATTTCCATACAAATTTCCATACAAATTTCAAATGCAATGCGGAAAGCGGAGTTACCACCAATCGTCCACAAATTTTGCACAGTTGTTTGGGACCCCAAATGGAACCAAAAAAACATTGTTCTGGAAAAATAATCATGATGACCCACTATTGCCCACCTATAAAATAACCATAAAAAGTTCTTAACAACCTGTTCTTGTTATCTTCCGAACTATGTGTGATATGGTGAAACCATTTGGTTTACGGTTCATAATTGGTACATTATTAGGGTGGTGCTCTTGGGGTCATTTTCAAGGAGAATATCAGAATCAACAGAAATATGAAGGGTTGGATCACACCACTTGTGGATTAATTCAGGTTTTTTAATTGCGACGTTTATGGAACTACACCAATATTTTTTTTATTCTCCACGGAACAGTATCAGTTTAGCTAGTTTTTTTTTCAAATCGAATAAATTCCAAGATATAGGGAAAACAATGCAACATCAGTAATACGTCTCACTCAAAATTTATTCTTGGTTTGCTTTCGGCGTCCACTTGAAGTGAAACAAAAACATGTTTTCTGATGTGAAAAAAGTTGTACCACCAACGATGGCTGACCCCATTGGTTACGTACGGTGGAGACATCTACAATTTACAAGAGGGTACGTGAAACTAAGGTTTTCTGTCTAGATACTCGGGGGTTGACTGTACCGGACAAAAAAAGCGTACCGATTCTAAATTGGCAGGGCTTTATTATGAGTTGAATTTGACTCAATGTTGAGTTGCTGTCATCGGCCGTGTGAGTACAGAAATTTCAATACCACCATTATGATATTGTTCGATGATTTTTTTTCTGATATTTTCAAACAAGATGCATTCAATTTGAATGCGTTCAAATGTTGGGATGCTGATCAAACTTTAAAACTTAACATACATGCATGAGTGTCAGTCTTGCTTATCATTATCGCTCTTTACATGTTTCTAATATTTTATGAGTAAACAAACGTGCAGGAACTAGGACAGTTATTTGAGACATTTCCTGAGTTATAATACTAAAGTATTTAATAATTGACTAAAAATGACGAAGACTATGAATATAGTATCATCAAACAAAATTTAAATTAAATTAAATCAAAACTATGTATTTTAATGCTTTAAATAAAATCAGAGATGAGCAACGAAGACCAGCGATACACTATAATAAAGCACTTTTTTATTGATATGCGTATTTTATGAAAATTGACAGTGACTAAAACTGTTGACATAATAATTCGTTATTTTAGCATCTGAAGATGGCACAACAACAACAAGTTCAAGAAGTTTCGTCGAATGTGAAGAAATAGAGGTAATGTACCTCTATTCTGATGTTATTTTTATCTACTGAAATGTATTATCAACATGCTTTTCGATCGTCACATACACGTAACAATACAACCTTTTTTACTTAAAATTAAAGTACATCTACTGAAGTCTATTCAATACTCACATACAATCAACCCTCTGCAACTCAACTTATGAAACAAACCCCCTTGAAAGTAGTCGCACAGAAAATATTTTTTCATTATAATTCATTAACTCTACAACGACTAAGCGAATATGCAGTTGTGGAGAGTTGATTGCATATCGTATTACATTCGCAAAACAAAACTTGTTATACCTGCAAAACTCTATCTTCTTAAACTTCCTAGCAAATTTACAGGAAAACTTTCCTGCTTATAGCAGATCTCCCGGCAGTGAATGCCTCCTTTTGCACAAAGTACAAAATCCGTTCAATATTGTCACTTTCAGCAGTGCTGTAAACAAGATCAATACACAAAGCAATATACCTAGTCTAACATCTTTCCGTTTTTTTCTCTTTTGTCTCTTCTACTTTCATGCCGGTCCACAACTTTGCAGAGATTAATATCGGATTTAAAATTTCCCAACCTGTTGCCGCCCAACCCACCGATAAAGGTAAGCAACAAGTCGCTCGCTCTTCCGTTCCATAGCGAAGATAATTGTCCACCCACTTTTGCATGATGCGTACGAAGCCTGCGAGGTGCGACGTCGTAATCAGAAATATCCGATTATCATAAAAATCATCATCATCATCTTTTCCATCGATTCCACGCCAAGCTTCGCTCTGTTTTTCAGCGCAGTAGTTGGTTGATTTAGTCAGTTTAATAATTTGTTTAATTTTGCATTATATTTCTTTCCCACCCACGCTGTTTTCGTTCGATCGTTGCCATGCCATCCGATGCGGGGACAGATTTTAATAGCATTTTGCAAAAATGATCCCGTGTTCGAAGCGTTGGTCACCGCCAGCCATCGGCTCAACTTTGAACCCACCTTTGTCAAGTCGGCCGATGCGGCGATCGAAGCGTTCCAAAGTCCGGCCACCGGAGGGCATCACATCATCGTAGTGGACGCACGGTATCCACGCATCATCGAAGCAGACGTCCTGGGAAGGTGAGTGTTTGGTTTTGTTTTTATTACACAAATTACTGGCTGCACTGCGTTCGATTTATTTTCAAACGCCTATTGGTAGGCTATGCTATGCTATGCTGTTGCTTCGTGTTATTCACCACCCTTATATCGATATGTTACCGGTGCAGCTTATGTTGATGTAATGAGATAAATTTGATTTGAAACGCTTTAACTTCGTTCTGTATTTGCAGGTCAATCCGAAACTCGAAAGGTAGTCAACATACTACAATGGTAGCAGTAGTTAAGAAAAAGTAAGTAATTATTCATTTTATGTATAAGTTTTATTCACCGACATAGTTATGTTTGGCATACACAGTTTTGCTCACGAACTGCTCATTTGCTAATAACTTTGCACAGAGTTGACGAAACATAGTTCTGTTTGAAGCGGTCGATAGAATAGAGTTTAAGCTTTTTATAGGTATGTAAAAAAAGGAGATTTTAATTATAGTAATAAACTGTATTTGATTTTGCGTTGCAAAAATGAAGTGAGAAATGCTCGCTGCATATCTCGGACTTTAAGTGTAAAAATTCATTGGTGTTGATTCAAATGATACTTTTTGCATGTCTACAGTAAACTATGATCCTAATCTATTAATTACTTTAAACTAAAACTTAATTTCAACAACTGAGTGAAAAGTTTTTAACAAATGAGCAGATGGTGTGTACAACTGTGCATGTCAAGCATGGACGTAGCTAATGGAAGCTGCGGTGAACTGCCGCCATTCCCATAACCGTCCCATGTCCTATTGATTTCCGTGTAGGTATATCCATATAAGAGGGCCAGAACATGTCTAGTTTTTGGATTTAAGTTTTTATAAGATCTTAAAATGTATGAATCGGAGGACTCCCTCACATTGGCTAGTATCTAACCTGGATGTTGGTCGGGCTTAATCTTATGCTTCATAGTGGAGCGTTGGAGACGGTTGGTTTAGGTCCGGCATCGTTGGCTCATGCCGTGGCAGAATAGCGTCATGGGCATGCGATAAGGATTACTGAGCTTCCCCTCTCTGATGAACCATTGCATGAGAGAACCAATGTTCTATCCTTACGTGACATTATCACACCTGTTACTCCAATTTTAAAGAGCCGCGTTGTAACACGCTTACTTATAGGCACTGACGTTGGTTGCGATACTGACGGGTTTTTCCGCAAATCACTATTATTTTATTTATTTTTACACAGATGGGTTTGCACGGGAATTATACTATTGAAATATTTCAGAAAGTGCCCAACAGTACTCCTTCTATTTGCGTGACAAGCTTTCGTTGTTGTTTTCATTGAAGCATTACTCAGGGAACAATGTTAAACACTATTTTTGTACATGCTATTGTAACTAATCTTATACATGCTTCATTTTGGTTTGGGATAAGTGTTTGAACTATGGCTCGGGATTTCCACGGTGGCATGCTTCTGTTGTGACATATCCATAAGTAATGTTGTGGGACGACATAGTGGAAACAAGTCAGTGTAGTTGGAGCATATACCCTATATAATTTAAAAATCAGCTAGGAAACTAACTTTAAAGTGAAGCATTTTAGTCACTTGAAGGTGTCACCTGAGACGAATTTATATATAATAAATATAGGTCAAACTCAAAAACATCTTGAAACAGGTTATATTTTAGATTACATGCACAAGTGCAGGTATTTAATATAGCATGGGTTATAATTGATTTGGTAGATTAGAGATTCCAATTATTTATTAAATTAGACTAATGAGATATCATAATCATCAAACGAACATAAATAAGAAAATTTAGTCAGCCTAATATCATTAAGTAGATTAACAAAAGTGTTAGGATGCGAGGAGTCCGCTTAGGGAGGCAACTAACCTTTAAAGCAACTGTTAACTAGTCTTTTCATATATAGTCTGTTTATTTTGATGGTTGCTTTAAAATATCAAATTTGGTTTATAGGGAAAATAGCTCTAATATTGGTTTATGGATCTATGATTGGGTCTATCGCTAAAAATCTGCTATTTATCAATTTTATCTAGATGAAAGCGTCATTGGGACGATATACTGAAGGATATTTTGGTCTCTATTGAAAATTTAGTCGGTTGCTGAATTTATGAATGGGACAAAATTAGGGGCATGTAGGCCGACATTACATCCATTTCCCCTATGTGAAAAGATGAATCAGTGCACAGTGGGCAAACATTTACAAAACCGCGACAAAATTGAATATCTCGGCTGCCAAACGGTTTCAGTCAACATGTTATTCATATTATTGACCGATAAAGTGCCCACATTATAAAAATTGTAATATTCTTTGAACAGATAATTTTGACATTTTATTAAAAAATCGTATGAGACGATTCAAACATCTTTTTTAGAAATTATTGTGATCTACCATACATAGAAAAAATATACCCCATTTAATTCCAGTATTACTCTGAAATCAAGTGCCCAATTCCAGCTCTTCAGAAACATATGGATAATTAACAAATACAACTACAGCACCGGACAAAGTAATAAGACCTCGTGATTTTTATTTCTCTTCAAAAAATTTAATGAGCTATGAGCTGTAATTTTTCAAGACGGCTTCAACATTTCTGAAATGTTGATGGCTGGTACATCAACTTTTCAAATTGTATCAGTATGGTTTTGCGCTTGATTGGCTGAGTTTGTAGGAAGTTTGTGAAATTTTAGTAAAACGCTTTGTATTTGACTGCCCTTTTTCAAAGTGTTATTTCTTGAAGTACAATAAACCGAATTTCCTAAAATTTTATATATTTGCAGTCAAAAAACTTTTCTTAGAAAAGCTTTAGATTTGACTTAAAGGTCAATGTTTTTACTGCATTGTGCTTCAATAAAATTAGTTTAAAGGTAGAAAGTCAAATAAGAAGCGTTTCATTCAAACTGCTCTAACTTTATACCAATTCAACCAACCAAACTCAAAACCATACCGATAGAACTTGAATAGTTGATGTACCAGCAGCCAAGGTTTCAGAAATTTTAATGTCCATCTTAAAAAGTTACAGCTTATTGAACTTTTTGGAAGAGTTAAAATACTTTTGTCCGGTACTGCACATCTCTGTTTTTACATTTCCAGGTTCAAATTAGAATTAATCATTGAAGTATTTATATTTATAAATAAAGTAAAACAAAAACATCTACCAAACTTTCACGTGTTAAAAAAATATTATGTGTTCCTGATCGATCGGAACATGTTGCATGAAACTTCATTAATCCTTTATTATGAAAACAAGGGTCGGACCAGTCTTAAATAACATATTATTTCTATGGTGAATCTCTGAACAACACGACCATTAGCAGTGTTGTTCAGAGCAGTGCTGTGCATAATCATAACAGTTATTGTACCTTGACGGTCATCCTCGCATAACCGTCACATCTCAGAAATGACGGTCATCTAGCATATCACTTTGAAACACCTCCACCTCACTAGACCGCCTTCATAAAAGCTATCCATGACAGTTAGATTCAGGCTTGCAATTGCTCATTACAGCTAAAATGCTTTTTTTCGTTATTATGAAACAATGGGATACTATAATGATAATTTTTATTTGTAAGATGCAAGAAGAGGTGGTAAAGATTGTATATGACATATAAAATTTGTCAATTTTGCTTTCAGAAGGTCACAACTAGCGTTTAGCTGTAACGATGAGCAACGCGATGAGCGAGCAATCAGCGATCATAAAATCGCTAGTTGTGACCTTCTGAAAGCAAAACCGTCATAACCGTATTTATGCTCGAAATGAGATGACGGTCAATTTATATGTCTGTTTATTTTTCCTCGGTGATATGATGGTAACACATGGCAGGTGTTAGTGATATTGCGAATGAGTGAGAAAAGCAAAACAACGATAGCTCACGGTTGTTGTGTCATACTGGTGAGAAGTTTTACGGAGAGAGGGTTCTCAGTTGTTTTGATTGTTAACCGCAGGAATCTCGTTTATCAATCTAAAGGCTGTCAGTACCGTGATGCAACTCAGCACTGGTTCAGAGTATGACACACACACAAACAAACTGCGGGTTTCTAAGAGAGTTTACAGTGCCGATCGATATAATAGCCGATATACCTCTGTTCTCTTATGATCAATTGAGCTGAAACCTTCTTCACAGAACTTCAAATGTGTTCAATTTTTCGATTTAAAGTACCATTTATTTTAAAGCACCTGCCAGAAGTGGGATACTAGGGATTTTTCTAATAAAAAAAAAGTTTTAGTTATTTCAATATGCACATGATTGTTAAGAAAGATCGTGGTTTTGCAGGACTGTTTACATGCTATGACAACTTCTACTTCAATCCAGATTTTCCGGAGGGTATGGCCACTTTACCCCAAAATTTCAATTCTTTATTAAATTCGCTTTGATTTCATGATTCTGAACAAACATAGAAAAAATCGCAAGATTCTAGGATCATTTTAATAATGTGGCCACTTTATCGGTCAATCCAGATTATCCGGGGAACCAGGATATGGCCACTATATTCCAAAATATTTATTCCAAGTTAAATACGCTTTGATCTCGTGATTCCATTTTTATAATGTGGCTACTTTATCGGTCAATCCAGAAAATCTGGAGAACCAGAAAATGGCCACTATACCTCAAAATATAGTTTCCATATAAAATACGCTTTAATCTCTTGATTCTGGACAATTTTTATAATGTGGCCACTTTATCGGTTGTTCCGGATCCTCCTTTAGGCCAGTAGAGTTTCCCTGAGAGCGTATATGGTGTCATTATACCATTTATACTAGGAAGTGTTAGGAAAAACTCAAAAACTCAAATCTCATGCATGAGTTTATGCCTTGCAAAATACAACGTCGCAAAAATCACCGATGAGTTTTCAGGTTCAAATATTCATTGCTTTATATTTTGGCGTTATTGATTGTTATAACTATTGTTTGTGCATCAGGGGTTGGAAAACTAACACAACATACATAGGCATGATATCAATTGACGTTTGAGTGGTTTTTATGAGTTTACAGCTGGAATGATTTTTCGGCGTTGTGAGTGTGAGTGCGTGAATATGCATGAGAATCTCAAGTGTGAATATTGTTTGCCGCATTCGCACGCAAGTTTATTCTCGCAGGGAGGCTCAATTAATGAGATTTGAGAATGATTTTCAGAACACATAATATTCTCACCCAATATTCTCAAAAACAAATGAAGCGCTCCGACCGAAACAATTTTTAACTTCATCCGATAGGCCGAAGTAAATTCATTGGCGTTTCAATGGCGTTTCAATGCGTTAGGCCGAGATTAGAATCTGTAGGCCGTCAAGAAGCAGTGTTAGACTTTTAACAATATCTCAACAATGTGTTTCTCTTTATCAAATCTTACATACGGAAAGGTAAATAAATTCAGAAGTTATCAGTAATAATAACATTCCGGTTGGTGCTAAACTACGCTAGATTAAGAAAGACTAAGGGCGGGTTGTGCTTAATAGGCCAGAAATGGGGTAGTTAACCCTATACGTTTAGTAAAGTTTAAAATTATGTCGATAGATAGTGGCATTTCCTACTTTACCGGGAACTCGGGTTGATCCCGGCCCTCTATCTCGGTACGCAAAAGTCTCCGGCCAATGAGACCACCTATCGATTCAGCAGAAATTTTCCTTTGAGAATATGTATAACATGTTGACTCAAACCGTTTGGTAGCTGAGATATTCAATTTAGTCGCGGTTTTGTAAATGTTTGCCCAGTGTGCAGTGGGAGATGGATTTTCGGTTTCTTTACATTTTACAGCACAAATCTAGTACTATGTGTCAGTTCCTCAAAACCCCCCAATAACCGACCTCTTCAATCCCTTCATTTTCCCATGGCGTTCAAAAGGTCCGCATAGACTATTCAGCCATTACCCTTCCTTTATCCTCGGCTTTAGATTGACTTGCGCTTTCATTGCCCCAGCAAACGCTGCAAAATGAAAATGAAAATGTATGAATCGGAGGACTAAATTTCGTTTTTTTTTATCTACACTCTTCTTTGCGGTTAAAGAAAATATGTCAGCTATTGTACTTATTATAAAAATTCAGCCAACTTCTGACAAAGAGTTTTTAAAGATTCAAAACTTTTAATAATTTTCATATCAGGAATATTATTCTAATTTTCATTCGATATTTTAAATAGTTCATCAGGCTATCAAAACATTGAAATGAATTCTGAATGCTGAACTAATGCAATCGTTCTAGATTATGGACACAGAAAGTCGAAATTTGTTCTTAAAATTTACTATCCTAATTTGTAATTAAAATACCCGGGCCCACGATTTTAACTTTCTCCCAGGCAAACCAATTTAGCTACATTTAAAAAATGTGGACATATGTTTACGCGTTAAAAATACATAAATTCCTAATATAGAGCATTTCTACATTCTTCTTTTCCATCGCATTTCAAGCTTATTGCTTATCGCACACAGTTCTAAATTGAAAGCTTTCGATGTCTGTATCAATTTTGCATTAGTAGATTTGTGTGGCAAGTACAATCATACTCTATGCAAATGGAAGTCGAGAAATTTTCCAGCCCGAAAAATGCTTAGACCGGACTGGGAATCGAACCCAGCCACCTGCAACATGGTCTTGCCTTGTATCGGTTGGACATGACACTCTCTTTTTCTATATTTTTTTTATTTATCCAGGCTCATTCGCATTAGCTTCACGTAACGTGGGTAGATCACTTTCTCTGATTCCTAGTCCTGACTACTTCAAACTAGGGGAACAGGATTTTTCAGTAATCAAAGGAACACATCTTAGTTCTTGTTAACTTGTTGATAGTAACAAGACTCGGCTTTGTCCTCCGAGGATGATCTTGAAATAAGGAAAAAATAAGTTAGTTGTCTTCATCTATGTGATTCATAATCTTCTATTCGTTGTTCCCTAATTTGATGTGGTTAAGACTAGGGTTCTGATGCATGTAATTATCGGTGTCATTCCTTAATTTTGTTGCTAAGGAATCCAATTTTGACTGACAAAGGGGCACGCTTTTGAAGGGTGTTTCAACATTCCGAAGGGTATAAATAGCGGGACCTTTCAATTAGAGTCGGATCCTTGCGATAAATTCAAGAATGACAACTGTGAAAAAAATCGAATACTTCATCATTTCACAATAGTGATAGAGTAATACGACATGCACTAAACTAAGGACACGTGATAAACTATAATAGATCAACTCACTGGTCACAGTAGTGTTACGTCCCGAACAGAGGAAACAAAAAAAGCTTCACGGAGCCGAACTTCCATTTTTGTTAAGCAAAGTTTTCATAGGACTAATGTTAATGGAGCTATGAGCGATTGCTCGAGGTTTGGGGTAACAATTGTGTAAATATGTGGAAGTAGAGTTGAGGACAAGGAACACCATGGTGTATTTGAGATGTTTTCTCCATTGTTTTGATGAATTTAACGACGGAACGTGGGAGCTTCACTATGATGCGATGGTGATAGGGCAAGTGCACAGGATCTCAAACTAAGCAGATGGACTATGGTGGATAACTGATGGGAGACTGACGCTTGAACTTGGAGGAACACGAGAATAAAAGATTTTACTTGATCCTCTAATCGAGCCGTTTCAAAAACACATAAATAAAATTAATGTATTTAAAATCCCGTTTCGCCCAGACATCTCTGATGGCTATTGCGGGTTGTTTTTCTCGAACCCTGAGGGATGTGGATAACACAGATCTGGCACGGTGTAGCCCAAAAAATTCTGCTTACTGACATATATGTGCGCTCAATTAGATTTTAAAACCCTTCATTTCATACTTTTATACAACTGAAGCGTTATTAAACCTTATTTGTCATATAACATGTTTTCGAAAACATCATAATAACCAATCCAATTAAATGTAAAATACCAAATTCTCTAAAACAAAAATAAGATGTAATCGAGAACGGGATTTGAGATTTCATGAATTTTCAATATTTCGTCGTAATTATCCGCAACAGAGGTTGGCTTGCGACAGTCATGATTTCTGCCATTAGGGGTTTCCCTATATAATGTCCTTAAAATATTGGCATATATCAAAGATGACATGCAAAATAAGTGCATATGTCCAGTGCTCTATGTATGCGAATATATTGTGGCTCTAAAGCACGAAATATTCTCGTATGAATGCCATATAAAAGCAAGTCATAAGGCACTCGTTTGAAAACATATAGGCAAAATAACATACATACCACAAAGAAAATCCCCATTAGTAGGCTATACTTGACATCGAAATGAAACGACTCTCAATCGATCAACCATGGAGGGTATTTTCTCGGAATCCATAAAATTTTCCAACTCCATCACACATTCCATCTTCGTTGCACGGTGATGTTTCAACCCACTTCGACAACACCGGGATGGGAGATTTGCTCCTCAGAAACGAGCATCCTCTGGATTGTGTCGCCTGGAATAATTTGATAGCACGATGGAAAGCCAGTCAAATAATGCACGCTTTCCCCACTTTTACCGCTGTAACAGGTTTCCAATCATTAGTGGGATTTGTGCTTTGGTTTCCTCCAAATTTTTTGCTCGTGGCTTTCAAGTTATTTCCGTCACTCGTCGTGATCTCGGTCAGGTGGGAAACAAATGGAAGTCAGTTCGTGACAAAGCTAAAATCTACCGGATCGAGAAGGTTTGCACGTATTCGTTTGCTTAAAATTTTGGTGGCCGTGAGCAGGTTTTGAATTAAAGCAACTCAATTCCCTTTATACTTGCGGAATCCTTTAAAAGATTTTTTCGGACACGATTGCCATTTTTTGCAGGCTCACAACTGGAAACAGATTTCATGTAACCGTCCGTGATATATGGGTTACGTACCATAAGGGAAACGATGCAACCGTTTATCATCTCCTCTCAAGTCTTGTTTCCTTCCTTCAACTATTTACTAACATGTTTTCTCATATCCATGGGCGTAACAAGAGCATCCTGACACAGAAGTCGACATAACCTTACCCCGTTACTGTTTACATTCCAGCCCCAAAACTATGTGGCTCGGAATGAGTTTTTTCTCCGTCCACTAAAGATTCAACTGCTGAAGAATGCTTCTCATATGTGTATTTCTCTGCTTTTCTGCTTTCAGTGTATTCGAAAAGGATGATACGGCTGTGATTTCGCTGCTGGATGTTGGCTTTAACAGGGTAAGTAATGATCCGAGAAAATTGCACTAAATGAAAAATCGCTTTCAGTTGTACCTACATATTTCAAAGGTAGTTTGAAATCCCTTTTATTTCTTTCTCATCCAACTCAATGCAAAATAGATGAGCATGAATAAACGATAAATCAATTTAACTAAAACCCAATCAACCCCATCGATCCCCATCCTAACAATCAACCTTCCTCTAGACGAAGGGTTACAACACCCACCATCGACTTCATCGATTCACTTTCCTCATTTTTCTTTTCCCTTCGACCGGACAGAGACAAGTTGGAAGCTAATAAAATTACTTTTCTCGTATTCTTTTCCATATTTCCAACCACCCACCCCCGATGCCTTGTCCCCTGCTACCCGCAGTGCATTATCGAGTCACCGCATGTGTCCATCTGCTCGTCGGAGCTACGACAGATACAGCACTCGCTGGTCCGGCCACAGAATGTGATATCAACTCAACAGGTAAGAAGAGAGTAGTTCGTCCTTGATGATTGTTATTCCTCTATCTGTATCTGTATGGGGGACGGTGGTTTTATTCGCTCAAACCGTCAGTGTTGCTGTTGAATAAAATAGATTTATTCACCCATTGCGGACGGAAGATGAATCGTTCTCAGCGCTTCGAATAAATGGGTGGTTGATTTACTGGGAGAACGAGCCGGGAGGAATCATACTCTACTTTGTACGAAACAATGTAGGTATTTTTCGCGAAACCACTTAGATTCAAACCAAAAATGTGACTTGTGTTGCGATATCTTATGCTTCAATTTACGTAAATCAGAGATTTTGAATATCGATATAAAAATGGAAAGCTTGTTAATTTAAGTTTGTGAACTGAATCCGTACCATGGATGGCCTCAAACTGGCTTTTCCGTAGATAAGATCTTAAAATGGTACTTTTTCATCGGTGAGAATCGTGGTGCATCTTTAATTTTAAGCTTATAGACTCTGTTTACCACTGGGCAGTCCTTTCATGACAACTTTGAACACACGTTCAGTTTTGGTGCCGTAAGTAAAAAAAATGTGCTTCTTCTCAGTAAGATACTTGAGAAGACATTTAAATCCGTCCAAGGTTTCAGCCAATACACGGCATTCACCCCGACGTCCAATTTGTAGAGAAAACTTAGCTTTCACGAAGTTCAAAAGTTCCATGCGAAGAGCATGGAAATCGGAAGTGGTTATCACAATAGGGGGAATCTTTTCCTTCTTGGCATTAAGCCGGGAAAGTTTACTAGAATTTTTCTTGGATGATGGATCATTCTCATCATCCGTGAGCAAATCAAATTGATTACTCAAATTAATTTCATCAGAAGGGGGATCAAGAGTTTGCCCCTTTCTTTTGCGCTTAGGCGCCATGGCGGCAGTAAATTTTTATCCAAATCGACTTCCAAGCAGATTACTATAAGAATCTGAAGGATCGAAGAGGAATTTTCCAAATCAATATCCAAGAAGGATTACCTCGGGTAGGGTCCAAACAAGGATCGAAGAGGCATAAGAGTAGAGCAAGGTAGAAATTTTACAGGTTGAGCACTGAAAAGTGATGCTTAAATTTGTTGTAGCTTTAGCCTTCAGCAAAAAGCAAATAGATCCGAACGGCAAGAGAGCACGATGTGGACTGATTATACTATTATTGATTTAACGCATTGTTCTACGACAAATGTAAGAACAGGAGATTCTTACAATTGGGCCCAATCTTTAGATCCATAGGGCAACATTAGAGCCATTTCCCCTATTTGAATGGATTTGATAAATAGTCACAATTTGTTTCGTCTTTGTGGGCGGTGGGGAATCGAGATTACAAACAAAACACGTCGGCAAAGCAGCTGTCCCGAAAGCTGTATACGAATTTGCTCACAAAGATCGACTGTGTCGTCATGGACGACGAAACTTATGTGAAGGTGAATTTCAAGCAGCTTCCGGGACAGGAGTTTTATACCGCATCAGGAAAAGGAAGGTGGCTGAAATTTTCAAAACCATCAAACTATCGAAGTTCCCAGAAAAAATATCTCGTCCGGTCGGCCATATGCACGTGTGGTCTAAAAAGCGGCATTTTCATTACTATGAGAACCATCAATCAAGAGATCTACGTCCAGGAGTGCCTGAAAAAGCGGCTGCTATCATTCCTAAAGCAACATAATAGACCTGTGCTGTTCTGGCCAGACTTGGCGAGCTGCCACTATGGGAAAAAGGCAATCGAGTGGTACGATGCGAACAACGTGGTTGTGGTACCCAAAGATCACAACCATCCCACCCTATCGAACGGTATTGGGCCTTGGTCAAATGGAATCTCAAAAAAACTAATAAATCCATGGAAAACGAGCAGCAGTTTAAATCTAACTGCTCTAACTACTCTAACTAAATGCACACAAGTGCCGAGATGGGTGAAATGAACGCAGTTTTCAGTACCTTTTTCTTACCGTGTGGAACAAAAGTGATTCAGAATGCGCACTGCGTATAACTCAGAGAGATAGTCACTTCTACTCAGCGCTGAGTTCCTGCAGTTTTTAGAAATTTCTCCATACTTCTGAGTAGAAAAGACTCTCTCTTTCTCTCTTTCTGAGTTATTCTCAGTGGCCGTGCATAATATTATTTTATATAGGGGAAATGGCTTTAATGTTGGCCTATGGATCTAAGATTGGGACCATCGCTAAAAATCTGCTATTTATCAATTGTATGTAGATTGGGACGGTGCTAATGGATATTTTTGGTCACTATTGAAAATTTAGTCGATTACTAAATTTATGTATGGGCCCAAATAAGGCCGACTTTACATCCATTTCCCCTTGTTCGAATGTTTCGAACGAAAACATGAATATGGTTGAAATATATCGTCGGTCCGAAAGTTTCCTATGACTGACACTGGACGATTCTTACGATTTCTCCTAGAAGCTCCATTCGGCTTTTCCCAAAAGACCAATTGACTTACCCCATAAGTGTCTGCCAACTTCCTCTGGAAGTTTCTCTAAACTTTTCCTAAAAGTTCCATCCGACTTGCCCAGAAAGTTCTTTCAGACTTCTCCCGGAAGTTTCTTCTTCCCCGGGAATTCCTGGATGTACATCTCCCAACAGTTTATGTCTATCAGCTTTGACTGGAAATTTCTCTAAGTTTATTGATACCGGCCAAATCTGGCTAAAGATCTCGTGTAACTCTCGTCCATCCACATAAAAGTGTGTTAAAATTTGTGGGTGCCTATGGCATTTTTTAAAACGTGTTTTTGCAACTATTTATGCCACCATTTTTTATTTTTTTTACGATTGCTTTTCATACTGTGCATTAAGTGCGGTTTCAGTCTGTTTCTAGGCTGCATCGCCACGAAAACAGCCTCCTGCCATTATGACACTTGAGTGTGGAATATATGTACCGTTACTATTATAATATTTTTTTCTCCTAAATAAAACTTGTTAAGAGTATTGCAAAAAAAAAGTTTGAATTCCAAATTCACAAAAAAAAACATCAAAAACTATAAAAGATTCTTAATTTTTGTTTTACGGAACAGGTCGGTAAAAACAAATCTAATCGTTCGGTACAACATACCTATTCGGTAGTTTTGACAGTTGTATGTATGTATGTATGTATGTAAGGTAGCCACCATCCCTTCGAAGATCTTGTCTTGTATGCAGCTCCACTTAATAGCAAGATCAATTTGAGCTACCAATCTGAATTCACAATATCGCTGTATGAAGGGCCAAAAACGGTGGGGTGGACCCGTAAGCAGAGGCACTTACGCGAAATCCACGGGAATTTAAGAATCTCCTTCCAACGATTCGGTAGTTTTGACAGTTCATCTAAAAATCCGCTTACCGATTGTTCTGTAGTCATTTAGTTTACCGAATTCTAGTGCTCAAGGTGCCTATGCCGATCAGTTGGTATCCGATTCTCGAAGGGTGGTAGATCGAATCAATTTCTTTGTGGCTGATAATTAATCAGCCCAGCGTACGAATCTCCATTGAATGCTATGTATAATGTGTAATGTGTTATTTCCAAATTTGCGTACGCTGAAAAGTTTGCATCGTTTAATAAACCTTCTGAATTCATGCTGTGAAGTGCCAATGACAAATTTACGGGTCTCAGAACATGTATTAAGTGTCTGCTATATATTAGCGGTTATTTTTCACTATGTTGAGATGTTTACGTCACCACCCATGACAGCAAGATAATTTATTTAGAGAGTGAATTCATTCGATAAATCATCTCTTTACTTCGGACGGCCATCAGCAACCATCACCACTCTCAACCACCCAACCGACGGATATTCAGCTCAGCCACAACCATAAATTATCACTTGCTGATCCCCGTTTCTACGTCAGCTCTCTCATATATTCATTGTGCTGACCCGGTTATCCACGACCAAAACGAACGATGAGAGCTCTGGTGTGCTCTGGAGGGTGACACGAATCTAGGACGAGATAGAAGAATTCACCTCCATGCAGTGTTTTTCTACCACATAAACCTTGGAAAGAATGTGGCGCCCAACAAAGTAAGAGTGACACCTTTAAGGACAAGCACAGTCATGGAAGGAATAGCAAAAAGGGAGCCGAGATGACTCTATCATAATCGAAATCGCAAAAATTGAAAGATGAACGGATGTGTAGCAGCTGATATTATGTCCTACAGCTCGGATATTATCTTCGCTCAGGTGGTCTGCACGTTGTCCGGGACTGGGCAGTATTACCTTCCCTGTATAAAATGAGCGAACGACACTCGATTGGATCATGTAAGCCCTCGGGCACAAATAAGATGCAGTGTGGAGGCAAAAATAGTGACCAGTTCACATCAAATCACAAGATATGCGATTCAATTTACTGATACAGTCTTCATCGACAAAATTTTCTAGCAATGAACACCACCTAATGACTTTTATCGTCTTGTGGTGGCTAGTATAGGAAAGGTCCCGGTTGTTTTTGGGATTTATATCAAATCTATTTGCTACCTCATAAGACTCTAGATGATTATTACCTAGAATGAATTCAAACCACAGTATTACAAACCTGAACTTATTACACTTCCTTCTTCCAGGCTCTGTATACGGCATTGCATCGTTCACGGGAAGCAATTATCATAACGGATGACTCTTTGCGAGCACAGTACGCCAACCGGGCGAGCGAAAAGGTTTTGAACATGAAATTGGTAAGCCTAGCCATATGAAGTGTACACTTCCGAACCCCAATTTAACACGTGTTATCTTTCCAAAGGACGAAATCGTGGGCAGATCTCTCAGCGACCTGGTGACGGCCGATATTAGCAACATTTTATCTCACACCACTAGACATAAGGACTACGAAGGTTTCATCAGCACCCGGCGAAAATCACAGGAAACCCTGCACATCCACGTTCGAGCTGTACCTGTCTCATGCATTGGAAGGTTTGGCCTCTTCCCAAGCAATGTTCACAACTCAAATTAAAATTCTCCATTTCTCTTCAGAAGCCCCACACATCTAGTTTTAATATTGGAACAAACGAGCGGCACCACCTTATCAGCCCTTGCAAGCGATGCCCTGCAGACCTTGCCGCATGGTAAAGAGGTGGCCCGAGGTTCTCTGCACTCGATCCGACGGGGCAGCTTCGATGTGCGTTCGATCGCTTCCGATGGCCTGCGGCGTACCAGTTTGGCCAAACTTTCCCAACTTCCACTGGAGGCGCCCATTACCAAGGTTCTGAGCTTATTGGCTCAAGTTCAGGAGAACTGCTCCCAGGAAGAATCCAGACTGCTGGATCGGGTGCTGGAATTCCTCAAACGGGAGGGCCTCTACAGTCCCCAGATGAAGGAGATTCGAACTGAGGACCCGGTGGCAACGGATCTGATAGGGGCTTTGCTCACGGTGCGTTCCATATTCCTTGGAGTTTCTTTACCTTGCATTAATTTAATTAATTTTCTGATTTCAACAGCAAGGACCCACCAACATTCTCTCATCGCGCCGAAGTTCGAATGATTCCATAATCCGGGGTGGCGGTCGGCCCTCAACCGGCAGTATTGTGTTCACCAAAACCCGGGAATCTACACAACTGTCCGAGCTTCTCAACTGTGCCCTGAGCTGGGACTTTGAAATCTTCAAACTGGAGGAGCTCACGGAAAATCGTCCATTGGTGTGTTTGGGTATGCAAGGACGACAAGCATAAATTGAATTGAATAATCATAATCAATTAACATTCTTTAACTGTCCAGGTCTGGAGCTGTTCCGGAGGTTCGATGTGTACAATACCTTCTGCTGTGACGAGGTGACGTTCAAACTGTGGTTAATCGAGATAGAGAAGAAATATCATACGGAAAACACATATCACAACAGCACCCACGCGGCAGACGTAATGCAGGTAAGAGAGCACTCAGACAGGTGGAACGAACATGGAGAGTAATTGGAATTATCTGGCCCGTCTTGGTCCTTTCTGCTGGATGTTGATGATTATGATGTAGGCTTGGTCAAAGGCTTTACCTTTTAGTATTAACAATAGAATGATGAATGGCACTGGGAAAGATGAATGATTAGATTTCCTGAGTATGGTTTAGAGATGGAGATATATTTAATTAGAGTTGAGAATTGCTTCCGCTATTTTGGATCCCTTTTCGAAACACAAACATTTCAGAAAGTAAATATTTTTTTGCGAATCAGATTAGACTTTGAAAAAATGTATACACAACTGAATGGTCGTCTAAATGTCTTTTGAACATGTAATTAATTGTGACTTTACTTCCTTCTTGGAATATATAATAATTAAGGGAGTATTCCCTGCTTTGAAAATATCATAAAGAAGAGCATACTTCTTTCTTCAAATATTTAGCAAAGGAAATACTTCATTCTTTGAAGAACGTGAGCGCTTAGAGTAGAGGAATAAAAAAGTTTTTTTTTTGTTTCACACATCGCAATAGACTGAAATGAAATCCTGATCATCCTCTCAAAATTAAAACTAATTCAGTTGTATCCTAGGAGTTCCTTAGCCCTTTGATGTAAAAAAAAGGGAATTACAACGAGAAAAGTGAAATTTTGGTCCAACTTATCCCTGCCTTTTGCTGAGATAATGATTATTTTTCAGAACTGATGAAATAATTGGAAACTGTGACATTCTGATTGGCTATTATTGATTATGACTGAAGAGCATTTATTGCCCCAATCTTAATGGAAAAATGCAATAGTACAAATCATATATCTTGAAGTTGTGCACACATTGTAATAAACTTCATTCTATCTCTAACTGGGGAAAATTTCATAGTGGTGTATCTAACCGGTTTTGAGATCTGACCCGAAAACAAACATCCCGGAAAATGTTGTTCCAATTTCTCTGATTTTTTTTCCGAAATTCACATACTTCGAACATCTATACTATTTTAGTGAAATGATTAGGAATTTATCTCGGGGAAATGTCGGCTTCGGCAATACCTTAACCTATTATCGTCAGAGGGATAAACAAAGTCCTAGAGCACTCAAATTTGGCCAACACAATTTATCCACATGCCAAAATTGAGCTCTCGAGGACGTTGTTTACCTCCCTGACGATAATAGGTTAAGGTTTTGCGGAAGCAAACATTTCCCCTCATTAATCAATAAAAAATATAAACTGAAAAAATACTATTTTACCGAAATACTGATCTGCCGCTCATCGCAAGTCGGTCCCATTTTCGTTTTTATCAAAACTGAGTTTTTCATTGGAAGTGGTAACTATGGATCCATAGTTTGATAATAATGGATAAACTCAACAACTCGTATGGGTTAGGCAAAAGATGTGCGTCTAACTTTAAAAACTGTCGCATTAATGGCCCTTCGCTCATTTTCAACCTCTATTCAATTTTCATACTGCCGTACTCTAACGGAACTATCCACCTACCCTCTTCTAAAAGATCATTCTCTAGCTAATAAATTATCATACTAAAGCTTCATGTTAGCATTTCCAACCAACTCTCAACAACTTTGTTTTGTTATTGTTTTGAAAAACAGCCAAACGAGTTGTCCCATTGCATAAGAAGCAATGGTTGGAAGCTAACTTAAAATGCGCGGCTTACGGATTTGTGCCGTGGGACGGACTTGCCATGAGCTGCAGTAATTGCCGGTTATACTACATGTAATTTCATACCAGTCCCATATGAAAAAGTAGGCATTGTGAAAATGGTAGTCGAAGCTACGAAGTGCAATTCCAATTCAAATACTTGATAAATCATAGTAAATTTATAAATATATTTTTCAAAACAAAATCAGTTGCATTTAAACTTGCATGTTTTGTTATATCAGCAAAAAATATGGTAGCTCAAAAAGCAGAGCTGTTATTGGACCCAGATCTTGAATTTCAGGATGGGATATCAGTCTCATTACTTTGCTTGAGCATGAACATTAGCATGAGCATTGACGACCATACATTTCAGTAGTTGCTACTTCGTGATTGACCAGATTTAGCGAAATTTGCACAAATAACCATATGAATGGGTTTAGAGACCATTATCAGTGTACACTATTCGGAGAATCTATATTTTTGAGGTCAATAACGGTGCCGGCCACGTCCTTACGGTCATCGGGGAGGAAAAGGATTGTTATTTCAACAACCGTTGCTATTAGAGACCGAGTATACCTCCGCATCTCCACGGTTGTCACGGGAAGGACGTTTTTGTTAGTGGGAAGGGTAAATTAGATCTGGATTCATATTGGAACGTGCCTGTTAGGCAAATGATGCGACCCTATCAAATCAGTAATGTAAAGAGGTTTAGGTTTTAACCCACGATCTTCTGCTCAGTAAGCAAAAACGGTCGCTCTAAGGCCACCGTGCCCCTTACATCACAACAAACTACGACCAACGATGGTTCATTATCGGTTACAAGAAGCTATTACAATAAAATGAAATCATCAAGAGTAGTTAACTATGTCTTCTGAACCGACTCAGGCGTACGTCACATTTGTATAAATATACTTATTACTTTTTTGAATCGTTCATCCAATTTCTGTTATTAACGATTTTCTACAATAGAGGCCTGGCTATATTAGCTTAGTAATGGAATGAGACTTGGGTTTTAACCCATGATCTTCTACTCATTAAGCAGAAACAGTTGCTCTACAGGCACCATGCCCCTTACATTACCACAATCTACGACCGACTCAACAAAAAGTTATTCAAATGAAGCGACGTTTCTGAAAGCAGCCAACAATGTCTTCCAAACTGGATCATGCATGCACCCTTTTCAAAAATCATGGTTTAAACTATTCAACTGTTGGTTATTAACTGCGCTTTATGCTCTCGGAACCCAACGAAACCGATCCCTCCATTATCGAGCATCTCAAAACCACAAAACTCCACGATAAAATATGATTAAGTTTTCATTTGGTATGTGATATATAATAATAATATAATAGGAAGTGTGATTTATTCAAACTCCACCTTCACTGTGGTGCCCTTTACACAAGGATAAGCGATGATCCTTTAGACCTAGAGCATAAAGCTAAGGAAAAGCGCTTATGCCTTCATTAAATTCTACTTTTACGTGACGTTCGTTGTTTCGATTTCGTCCTTACGTAAGACGGGAACAGAATCCATAAAACATTCACATTTTTGGGCTACTGTACCCCTTTCTTCACGCTTGCCTATTTTACCAGCGTACACATATTGCATATCTTTTAAGCTATCTCGACCGAACTCTATTGCGTTTTAAAACGACTGTTTTCTCTTTCATATTTCGTCGTCAAAACTACCAAACCCCACAATCAAACACGACCCGCCGTGACTACCGTCAGTCTTCAACCACGGCCCTCATAATCATGTTAAGGACACACCTAGCAACAAAACAAAAACTTATCGGTCAAGTGCCAAGCTTGCATGTTCGATCGCGACATTTATTTTCTTAACGAATCATGCTTCAACTTGAAAAAAAAATCATAATGAATCATTCATAGACACCTAACCGTAAGAAACCCGAGAAACATGCTTCATGTGATCGAGGTCATCCCTCTGACAAATGGGAATGATGAAAATAAATCTCGATTACTCTCCCGAAGGGACGCATCCGCTCCCGCAAACAATGCATCCGATCCCCAATCAGGCGCAACACCACCATCAGATAGAGGAAATTTTCCCCTACCTGATAGTGGCACAGCACGCGCGGGTGAGCCACCAGCCACACCAAACTGACCATCAAACGCACTGCCCACAAAAGCAGATACGCCCCCTCGAAAACGCAATAGAGAAATGTGCGATTATTAAAAAATTCCCTGATAATAAGACCTACACAAATATTGTCAGAAAATAAAATATTAAAGTTGGTCCAAGGGGTATTCAACTCTGCACAATTTAATCTGTGCCAAGAACTTTGAAAGTGCCGAAAGCTGTGTCAATCGTTGTGCCGATCGTTGCGAAATAGGCCGAAGTGTATCAATCAAGGTGTCAATATGCCATGAGTTTGGCAACCCTCAAATTAGACTTTTGTGATTGTGTTTACATTTTCTATTTCTCTAGTTCATGAAAATGGTTCATGGCAAACATTAAACTTCATTCTCATTAAAACGAGAGCGAAGTGGGTAGTGGAAGAGGAACTGGAAGCAATCCAACCTACTAGGTGGGGTAAAAATCAACCTCCTTGGGGATGATTTTTTTTTTTTATATAATTCAATAAAGTCCCCTTTTAGCTCGATACACTTATTCAGGCGATTTTCCAACTTCATGATCCCGTACGAAAAGTAATTTTTCGGAAGGTCTGCAAAATACTCCTCCGCGGCGTCGATGATTTCCTCACGTGAGCGGAATTTTTTTATTGATGAGCCATCTTTTGAGGTTTGGGAAGAGATAATAGTCTGAGGGAGCCAAATCGGGCCAATACGGTGCAATGCCCTTGTGCGGCGGCAAGTGTTTTTTGCAGAAACATAAAAAAAATGGCTTCATATGAGGCCGTTTTGCAGCGATTTCGGCCTTCAATCGCTCCAATAATGCACAGTAATACTCGCTGTTTTTCCTTTTTTCGAGGTAGTTCACGAAGGGTATACTATGACAATCCCAGAAAACCGACGCCATAATCTTTCCGACCCATCGAGTCTCCCTGAGGCATAACATCTCTGATCACGTCGGTAGCATTGATGCTCAGCACGGAAAACAATCGACGGAAAACGGAAAAACAAATCAAGGAAAAAATCGAGTAAAAATTTACTCAGTCTAATCACCAATTTTCGTCCTACCGATCAGAAAACATCAAATATATCTATGATTTCAGTGTTATCGATACAACCATACATTTGGTACAGTACTTTAAAAGATGATGATGGTCCCACCTCTTACCCCTACAAAGGTTTGAGCTGGACGAATTATCTTTAAGATAATTAAATGTAAACAGGTTTGCAAAAAATCGAACTGGTTACATTTACAGATATAAATTCCCTCTAGAGTTTACAGTTGCTTCACAGCGATACAAATGTAAAAAAGCTAAGGCGTCCACCTCTTAGTTCGGCTTTTTGTCCACCTAAAATATGCATAAGTATTACAAGCGATCAAGAGTTAATGAATAATCAACAAAGCATCCTATTACACAAGCAACCCCGCAATCTGATGCTATCATAATATTCAGCAAACCCCCGCCATATGCCAAAAAACTAACTACTAACTCAAGGTATCTTCCAAATAAGCTTCAAAATTGCATTTTTTTTATCAAATTTTAAATTCAGTCCTTTATATTATTATTAGACTACTTTTTTTAATCTACTACTATTAAATCAAATATTGAAAATCCATCATCACCATCGTGGCGAACAGAAATATTTTTTGCAGTTCAAAAAGTCGTTATGACAGCTATCCATATAAAATAATCCTTAGAGATAGCATCGTCAAGATACATAATTTGTCAATTCATAAAAAAAAACACTGGATAACTGTTCAAAAGACAGTTTTAACGTGTGTAATGCAGTGTCTTTTAAATTCTGTAAGTGTTGCTGAACGTTTTATATGTCTAGGCATCGAATTGAAAACATTTATTCCTTTATAATATAATGAATTTTGTGAAGCACAACTCAAGAAATGTGGTGTTCTTATTTCAGCCACTTCTTCTTCTTCTTCTTCTTCGCTTTTCAAGCTTATTTCATATCGCATATAAGCTTATTGCGTGCTCTCAACTTAGTGTTCTAGATGCACTTCCACAGTTATTAATTGAGAGCTTTCGATGCCTGTACCATTTTTGCATTGGTATTATTGTGTGGCAAGTCCAATCATACTTCTATGCCCAGGGAAGTCGAGAAATTTTCCAACCCGAAAAATTCCTAGACCAGACCCGGAATTGAACCCAGCCACCTCCAGCATGGTCTTGCTTTGAAGCTGCGCCTTAACCGACTGAGCTAAGGGAGGCCGCGTTTCTAGCATTATCTCTATGAAAGTCACTTACTCTTTCAATTCGATCACACCAATATCAAGGCAACACACTACTTTAAAAATGAACACTCAAAATCAAACGCATTATTTTATTCTGCAAGCGGTGTAATCTCGATATTTGTGTTACATCGGCCAAAAATAAAATGGAAGGGCAAAAGTCTAGATGAGGAGCGATGATTGATTTGTATAGCTATATTTTACTGGCAATAGTTAAATCGTTTTTCAGTCGACATAGAATTCCATACTTCTTGACAATTTTCTTGATGACATTGTCAATGTGAGAGTTGAACTTAAGTTTGTCATCAATAATCACGCCTAGATATTTAATCTCGCGAACGTGATAAATAGTCTCATCATAAATTACAACAGAGATGTTCTCATTTACTCGATTCCGTGAAATTACCATAAATTTAGTTTTACTTGTATTCAATTTCTACTGCTTATACTTCAACCATATACTTAGATAACGCAAATGCAAGTGTGAAACGGCATCATCTAAATCCTTAGCTGCAACGAATAACACAGTATCATCTGCAAAAAGATTAATGTCGCAAAATCGTTAAACACGTCTCATATCATTAATATACATAATAAATAACAGGGACCCTAATACACTTCCCTGGGGCACTCCAAGGTTATTCCCCACGGGACTGGAAACAGAATCATTAAAAACAGCCCGTTGAGTTCTGTCAGACAAATAGCTTGCAAACCATTTATATGCAGTACTCGTAATTCCAAAGCACTTGATTGATCTTAACTATAAGGGCTTAGACATTATTCAAAAGCGCGTTTAAGATCCAAAAAACAGTCTCTTTACACTCCCAGTTATTTTTCCACTTCGCTAATACCAAATTCAACGTGGTTTCACGTTACTATTTGAATACTCCATCTTCTTCTTCTTCGCGTGCTCTCAACTTAGTGTTCTAGATGCACTTTCACAGTGATTAATTGAGAACTTTCGATGCCTGCTACCATTTTTGCATTAGTATAATTCAAGAGCCACATGTGAAAAGGGTATACAAGCTTTTTGTAAACAAACCTTTGTAGGCCCTTTTCTCTCCAACCGAGGGTCGCCCACGCAAACCATCAACATCATCAGGAAGGGGAAAGTTGACTCTACCCGCTTATGCTAATGGTTTGCGTTGATGTCATATGGGTGGCGAGAAAAGGTTTGTTTACAAAAAGCTTGTATGCCCTTTTCACATGTTGTTCTTGAATTGTGTGGCAAGTACAATCATACTCTATGCCCAGGGAGTCGAGAAATTTTCCAACCCGAAAAATTCCTAAAGCAGACCACAATGATTCATTAACAAGGTCCAGCAAGATGCGGTCAATGACATGAAAGCAATCTTGAATAACTCTAGCATTAACATTATCTACTCCAGCCGATTTTCCTAATGAAAAACAAATAACTTTAAGTTTATCTAATGTAATTGGGTGAAAAACTTCAAATCTACAACTACTTTTAACTGGCTGTTTTATTTCGTCAGGTTCATCGACCAATTAAATGGATTGATTAATCAATGAAACACTGTCTACAAAATAATCATTAAACTTAGCAGCAATTATTTGTTCTGATTGTTCTAATGTGCCATTGAAAGCTATGGACCGCGGTTTGCAATTACTAGGTTTTTATAAAGTTTTTAAAATTGTCCATAACTCTTAGCTGTTGTTTTAATGCTGATGAGTTTTTTTTATCGATTGTGAATACTTATTACACGCTATTGTGTACCTATTCCAATGATTGTCATTATTTTATCTAGAAAACTTTTTGTACCATTTTTCCCTTTCCTGTTCAAAATTCAAACGAATCAATTTTGCCATTATGAAGAAGTAAATTCGATAACATTCCTTTGTGTTTGTACAAAATTGAAACCACTAGTCCGAGTTTGAAATCAGCTTGGAGCTTGGTTCTAAAGACCATTTTTCTCTCTGACGGAGCTACAAAATAGTTTCAACACGGTAGTAGTATTCTTTCAATTTTTCTTGGCATCAATTCCAAACGCGTCCCTAAAAATTTCAATTCAATTATATTGCCTAGAGCTAGTCTCTCACATGTCAAATTTGAAACACCACTGTACCATGTTCATTAGAACACATGGCGTGTGGAAGCATAATCATAAAATCATCATTCCATCATCATTAGTGGTAACTGCAGTTATCGGGTATCAGATGGGTAACGGTGCAACATAAATATCATTTAATTGAGGGATGCGAAAGCCCGCATAATGTACATACACACTTTTTTTATTTTCAAATTAATCACGGCGACGTCAACCGATAATTGACAATGTCCCTTTTCAAACAGTAGATTCAAATTAATTGTAATTGAAACCACATTTCGTGCATCACCAGTCCATTAGAATAATTGAAGCTCACTGTGATTTCTAGAAATTACCAATTAAGAAATCACGTTCCCCAACCAACGCAACACAACGAAACCTATTCAAATTACGTTTCTCGTGCTAAATCGAATTGAGCATTCTGCCATTGGCCCTCACAGAACCACTTGCTGAAGGAGGATAAGAAGGGTCGTCAGCATAGAACCTCATACAATAAGCTGCCCAATTAGATTGTCAATCCACCGTGAGCCGGTTTCTATCACTCAAAATCCGATCACCTATTATACGTATGAATCCCAAGAAAGGTGGGATACATTAAACTACCTACACACACATGTAAGGTGTATTATATTATTAACCCGGCTTAAATTTGTAATTGAAATGTGAAACTACATGAACCCCATTAGAAAGTTCTGACTCCAACTGGGATTGATTCCCGCTGGGAAGGCTCATTTCCTCCTTCGGGGACTGTCTAACTTCTTTGCGGATAAATGTTAAATCTGAACAATACACCCTGGAGAAATCGCTTTAGACTAGTCCTTGTGATTTGTGAGAGGAATTTTATCACATCATCCAATCCAAATGAATATGCATTAAGGTGATTCGTTGTAGAGCCCACAAATGGCCACCACGTAAGATATACATGCACTTCCACTTCGAATTTCATGTATGCTGCGATGTAACAAACGTGGAGCAACAGTTTTATTGTGGTACGTGTCATGGAAGCTGATATTTGCGCACTCTCAGCGAAACACCTTGAATGCATAGGAGGGATTCTTAAATTCTTTGCAAATGTTTTATACCAAATTTATTTTGAAGAAAATCAATTAAATTCATAAAATGAACTTACATATATATTAAAAGATTATCTGTCAACTCTTCAAAAGATTCCACAGTGGACAATTCTAAAATAACTATACCTGCACATACACACAAACAGCTCCAAACAAGCATAAAACTTTATCTCATTAAATATTCATCCAATTTGGGACTGGCAGACGGGTTGAGTGGATTTAAAACATTTTTCTTTATTTCCTTTAGCTGTCAAGCACATAAGAGCAGTGGAGGCTAGGGAATAAATTTTTCATCGTCCTGTTACTAATAAGGAACATATTTCTGATGGATACAAAAGATACAGCCAGTAGGAGGAAATCCTCACCGGTTGCTCTGAAAATGAAAGGAAACAGTGAGGAAAGGCCTTAACCTTCCACATTCTTGTCAACATTTCTCATTACAATGCACGGTTTCGCAAAAGGTGAATAATTCCAGAAATAATTTAACCGGAATTACCTTCTCGCAACCCTTTCTCGAAACAAGTTTTGCCACAAGCGTTTACAGACGTTGAAACAGGATAAGTTTCGTCGAAACTCGGTTTACGGCATGCTTAAACCGCGCGTTTTCCCAAAACAAAAAAGTATTTAAATAGCGGGGATTATTCAGTGTTATTTTGCTTTCTTCCGAAACACTTTCAGGCTACGGCTTGCTACCTGCAGCAGCTATCGAATCGCGAAATCAAAGTGATGGATCGGATGGACGAGGCCACCGCCCTGATTGCCGCAGCTACCCATGACATTGACCATCCCGGCCGTTCGTCGGCTTTCCTGTGCAACTCGGATGACAGGCTCGCGCTGCTGTACAACGACACCTGTGTGCTGGAGTCACACCATGCGGCAACTACCTTCCGGTTGACGTGGGGTAAGTACACAATTTTACGTTTGTAGCGAACAGTCGACAGAATTGTGTCGATGAGTACCAATTTTTTGTGTATAGACCAATCATATTTACATTATTTGATTAATCACATGTTATCATGGCAGCAGTACACGGGACGAAAAGAGTACCTAATATTGAGTTCCATTCTCTCAAGTTACACGAAACTGTGCCAACTTAATTTTGAGTTAACACGCTTGAAGTTGTTGTCCATCAGTTTGCTTTCAGCTGTTGACTCAGCGGCAGTTGTATCTCTTGGTGTCCATCGCGTATCGACAGATGTTTACTCGATCACATGATTATTTTGGTGCTTTTTGCCGTTGCCGTTGGAAACAAAATTTCGATATGGTCGAAATAAAGATCACTCTTTATTTTGAAGCAGGAGATAAATCAGCCTCTAGCCGAAAGTCTCCGTAGTAAAAACATCCAACCAATGAATCCATTCTTCATACCAACATGGAAAGACAAAGCCACACACTTAGAAATAACTAAACTTAATTCATATTTCAAGAGAGACATGTGAAAAGGGCATACAAGCTTTTTTAAACAAACCTTTGTAGGCCCTCTTCTCGCCAACCGAGGGTCGCTTTCGCAAACTAATTACATCATCGACAACGGGAAACCTTCCCTTATCCGGCGACGTTGATGGTTTGCGTTGGTGTCATATGGGTGGCGAGAAAAGAGCATAAGAATGTTTTCTTACAAAAAGCTTGCATGTCCTTTTCACATGTTTTTCTTGATTTGACGTAAATCATGGAACGTGAACAGACATTTAATGTAAAATTAAGTGCTCCAAAACTGAAACATACGCAATTCGACAAAAAATGCGTGTGATTGAATCTATTTTCTCATTTCTCTCAACTGATTCTTACGTCATATAGGCTGCTTGCACAGGTCGGTTTCAAGGCAGCGAAATTTACATGACTTTTTCGTAGTGTGCAACCATGGGCGAGATTGAGAATTTCGTGAAAGCACTGGACGAAAATCCAGGTGACAGGGATGCAACGTACAAGATATCAGAATGTGAAGCAGTGTTTATCAAGCTGAAATTTTAAGCAACTATGCATTATGCCTTGATGCATAACTCCTAGCAATCCGTTTTTAATTATGCTGCAGAGATGTGCCTCGACATGTACACAGGTGTGTGAGCTGTATACATGGACGTGTAAATGGAAATTCCCTCCTTGCCTAAGTTTGCTAAATTGGATAGGGAATATATTTTATGCTGGGAATAAAGATAAACGCTTCTTATGTTAAGAATGGTCCATTAATTATGTCACGCAAATTTGGCCCATTTTCAACCCCCCTCCCTCTTTGTCACATTTTTTGTATGGACCTTAATTTTTTTTTGTATGGCTCGTCACAGTTTTCAAAACCCCCCCTCCCCCCTAAATGTGTGACATAATTAATGGACGACCCCTAAGGCGGAGGGGTACCAGATAAATTCCTGCCCCAAGCGGATAGCTCGGAAGCAGAAATAACCGCTTGAAATTCAACCGGACGTGGGGAAAAATCAGGACAATTAAAAGCAATTCCAGGACAAAGAAGATGGCAGCCCGCTGGATAGCAGTAGGCGTACGCTGGTGTAGTGGCTGGAGGTGCATCGTTGGAAAGCAACAGACATGAAACTAAGGAAGTACTAGAGGTGCCGCATGATTTCTTCTTCTTCTTAGCATTTCATACTTATTGATGATCGTATCTTCTCAGCTTATTGCGTGCTCTCAGCTTAGTGTTCTAAATGCATTACCACAGTTATTAATTGAGAGCTTTCGATGCCCGTACCATTTTTGCATCAGTATAATTGTGTGGCAAGTTCAATCATATAATCTATGCTCAGGGTGGCCGAGAAATTTTTCAACCCGAAAAAATCCTAAAAAAAAACAACAAACCCAGCCACTTCCAGCATGGTCTTGCTTTGTAGTTGCACCTTTACCAACTGAGTTAAGGGAGGCCCCCGAGGTGCTGCATGGTAAAAATGGACATGGTGGCCCCGGAGACCGAAAACGAAGCCAAACGGCCTGAACTGATGCCAGCAACTGCAGAAGCATTGGGATGATTAGGTGCGATACGAAAGATGAAAGATGAGAAGGAATATTAACTCAATCCCCCTAAATGCACAATAAACAAATTAGTCTCTCGGCTCGGTTATGTTCATAGAGACATTGAGCCTCCTAACTTAACACTATAGGGAAAACAAAAGCTGTTATTCACTCGCATGTAAACAGACTACTTACTTGTAAGTAATTTTCACCCAACATCAAGTTTAAACTAGCCAGAGACAAACCAGCCCAGGGCTGAAAGTCTCCTTAAAAAAAATAAAAAAAGCAAGCTTAAATAACACACTTAGAAATAATTAATTTAAAACGAGACGTAATCTATGTTGGACGTAAATAATGGAACGTAAAAAAACATATCATGTAAAATTAAATGTTTTCAAACCAAAACATAAGCAGTTCGACAAAGAGAACGTTTGATTGAATTGATTTTCTCGTTTCTTTCAACTGATTCTTATGTCAACAGGGCCGCTTGCATGTGTCGGTCTCAGGGAACCGAAACTTACATGACTTTTTCGTAGTGTGTATTCAGTATTATGTTGTACACCACTTACCTAATGAGAGCGAATGAAAGGAACCAATTCAATTGTTAATTTAAAGAACTCAACCTTTGGGGCTTTTTTAAGCGAGTACCTCGCTTTTCTTCTTTCATTTTGTTATAAATAATCAAATTAAACACTTAATTCGAGCAGTTAAAACGACATTTACTGCCACTTGAACATCAAAATAAAACAATGTTTTTTTCTTCTTCTTGAAAAATAGTTATTTGTTGTTCCAGTATTGTTAAATCGCTGGTAGAAGGTCACGGCAAAACTGTTTGACAAAATGGTCCATATAATGATTACTTGGTATTTGTCAAAAGATGTTAATATTAAAGTCTTTTCCATTCAGAATTTAGCTGCATAAAATAGGTTATTTTTCCAAGGGGAAATAAAGTACAAAAACGCTACAGGTATCATTTTGTAGGATTTTTATTTAGCTTTAAAGGAAACATACAACACAAATTATTCGTCCGCTTTTCGGATGAATTTTCGAACTTTTCGCGCAATACCCCTCACCATGTCTTGCACAGTAGTACCATAGAGGTAACTCTAAGACTAGTAGGTTCCGAAGAAACGTGCTCAACTTTTTGGCTCAGCTCTGGTACTCTCTTCGGTCCCAAGCTAATCGATGCACCCCTCGAAACATAGGAAAATCCACTGTCAAACTTTCATAGAAAATCTAAGCAAACAATGTGTAGTACTAGAATTTCGACTCGAATGGGGTACGTTTATCGATTTGCTTGGGACCAATAGGCTAGTCAAGTAGTGATCCAATTTAAAATCGATAGTTTCGTATTGATTGTTGGTAGTACCAACAATCAATACGAAACTAACGATTTTAAATTGGCTCACTACTTGACTAGCCTATTGGTCCCAAGCAAAAGGTAAATGTACCCCATTCTAGTCGAAATTCTACTACTACACAATGTTTGTTTTGATTCGCTATGAAAGTTTGACAGATAAAATGATGGGTTAGTGGATTTTCGAGGGGTGAATCAATTAGCTTGGGACCGAAGAGAGTACCAGAGCTGAGCCAAAAAGTTGAGCACGTTATTTTGGGACCTTCTAGTCTTAGAGTTACCTCTATGGTAGTACTGTCATCCTCATCTACCATCCTTTTCCACCGCTTCTCTAAATCAGATGGTGTTTTGATTGTTTTGGTCCATTACTTCAATTTGCGCTTGATAATTGCCCACAATTTTTTAATGGGACGAAAATCTGGACAAATTGGTGGATTGATACTTTTCTCAATATAATCGACATTATTCTGCTTATACCATTCTATGACATAGCGGCATTAATGGCAGCTGGTTAAGTCAGGCCAGAACTTAACGGAACCTTCGTGTGATTAAATGAAAGGCAACATTATGTTCTGGAGACACTCCTCCTTGTAAAGTTGTCCATTCATAGTCGCTCCAATGATGAAAACCATTGTTTTCTTTCCGCAACTGCAGATGCCATGCCAAATCATCAACTTGCGAGCGAATTTATCTGCAAAGACAAATTTGAATTTATCCGGAGCATCCCCTTTACGTTCAGCAAAGTAAAATTTTTGGCTCGGGATTTGTCCAAAGTCCATATTTACGTAAGTTTTATCGTCCATCAAAATACATCCGTTCTACTTGGTCAGAACCTGAGTGGTGCGAAGTGAAATTTTCTTCATGTTGGTAGTGTTGAAATAAACGTTTCATCACCGTCGGTTGGTAGAGAGAAATGTCAAACGGCTTTTTGTGCAGAGCCGATTCGTGACTTTGTGATTGTTTGTTGACATTGTTCATAGCTGGAGTTTTTACGGAGTGGAATAAAATTCAGAATGAAGTGTTTTGCTCACTTTTGCAATTATAAAGATGGACACGACGAAAAGCGAAGCCTATTCAGGTTTCTCAAGGATTCAGCAGTACGTATAATGTTTGATTTTTAAGATGTTTAAATAAATATCCACAGAAAAGTCTGTATAATGCATCCTCATTTAATCTCATCCCTATTTTGCTTCTGTCTGCAAAATATACTTTTCATTTCAGGGAAGTCAAGAAAGAATAAAACCCTGACACATCCTCTACCTGACTTGCAATCAAACATAGTAATTTTTATTTGTATAAATTGTTGCAAATCAGATGCAAATTTAATGTGGCCGACGATATCTATGGAAGTGCTGTCGAAATTCCCTGGGACCTCCAATGGCAACGATTTGACTTCCCTCCAAATCGTGTGAAACTCGAACATGAAAACTCTATAGAACCCCCGTAGAACCTCACTGGCAGCAACTAAAATATCCACTGAAACCTCTTCTGTCGTGGGAAAAATCTGTTGAAATTTCCTGGAACTTTTGTACTATCATCACAAATCTCCTTAGAACGTTCTCCGAAGTCACAGTCGTTCCTGAGCGAAA